TACCAGTATAATTTATACCAAGTGTTACACATACCAGTATAATTTATACCAAGTATTACACGTACCAGTATAGTTTATACCAAGTGTTACACATACCTGTATAATTTATACTAAGTGTTACACGTACCAGTATAATTTATACCAAGTGTTACACGTACCAGTATTACACATAACTGTATAATTTATACCAAGTATACACGTACCAGTATAATTTATACAAAGTATTACACGTACCAGTATAATATTTATACCAAGTATTACACGTACCAGTATAATTTATACCAAGTATTAGGCATACCAGTAAAATTTATACGAAGTATTACACATACCAGTATAATTTATACCAAGTGTTACACGTACCAGTATTACACATACCTGTATAATTTATACCAAGTATTACACATACCAGTATAATTTATACCAAGTGTTACACGTACCAGTATAATTTATACCAAGTGTTACACGTACCAGTATTACACATACCTGTATAATTTATACCAAGTATTACACGTACCTGTATAATTTATACTAAGTGTTACATGTACCAGTATAATTTATACCCAGTGTTACACGTACCAGTATAATTAATACCAAGTGTTACACGTACCTGTATAGTTTATACCAAGTGTTACATGTACCAGTATAATTTATACCCAGTGTTACACGTACCAGTATAATTTATACTAAGTGTTACATGTACCAGGATAATTTATACCCAGTGTTACACGTACCAGTATGATTAATACCAAGTGTTACACGTACCTGTATATTTTATACCAAGTGTTACACGTACCAGTCTAATTTATACCAAGTGTTACACGTACAAGTATAATTTATACCAAGTGTTACACATACCAGTATAATTTATACCAAGTGTTACACGTACCAGTCTAATTTATACCAAGTGTTACACGTACAAGTATAATTTATACCAAGTGTTACACGTCCCAGTATAATTTATACCAAGTGTTACCCGTACCAGTATAATTTATACCAAGTATTACACATACCAGTATAATTTATACCAAGTATTACATGTACCAGTATAATTTATACTAAGTCCTACACGTACCAGTATAATTTATACCTAGTGTTACACGTACCAGTATAATTTATACTAAGTATTCCACGTACCAGTATAATTTATACTAAGTGTTACACGTACCAGTATTACACATACTTGTATAATTTATACCAAGTATTACACATACCTGTATAATTTATACCAAGTATTACACTTACCAGTATAGTTTATACCAAGTGTTACACGTCCCAGTATAATTTATACCAAGTGTTACACGTCCCAGTATAATTTATACCAAGTGTTACACGTACCAGTCTAATTTATACCAAGTGTTACACGTACCAGTCTAATTTATACCAAGTGTTACACGTACCAGTCTAATTTATACCAAGTGTTACACGTACCAGTCTAATTTATACCAAGTGTTACACGTACAAGTATAATTTATACCAAGTGTTACACGTACAAGTATAATTTATACCAAGTGTTACACGTACAAGTATAATTTATACCAAGTGTTACACGTCCCAGTATAATTTATACCAAGTGTTACACATACCAGTATAATTTATACCAAGTATTACATGTACCAGTATAATTTATACCAAGTCTTACATGTACCAGTATAATTTATACTAAGTCCTACACGTACCAGTATAATTTATACCAAGTATTACACGTACCAGAATAATTTATACTAAGTATTACACGTACCTGTATATTTTATACCAAGTGTTACACGTACCAGTATTACACATACTTGTATAATTTATACCAAGTATTACACGTCCCTGTATAATTTATACTAAGTGTTACATGTACTAGTATAATTTATACCCAGTGTTACACGTACCAGTATGATTAATACCAAGTGTTACACGTACCTGTATATTTTATACCAAGTGTTACACGTACCAGTCTAATTTATACCAAGTGTTACACGTACCAGTGTTACACGTACCAGTATAATTTATACTAAGTATTCCACGTACCAGTATAATTTATACTAAGTGTTACATGTACTAGTATAATTTATACCCAGTGTTACACGTACCAGTATGATTAATACCAAGTGTTACACGTACCTGTATAGTTTATACCAAGTGTTAAATGTACCAGTATAATTTATACCAAGTCTTACATGTACCAGTATAATTTATACTAAGTCCTACACGTACCAGTATAATTTATACCCAGTATTACACATACAAGTATAATTTATAACAAGTGTACACGTACCAGTATAATTAATACCAAGTGTTACACGTACCTGTATAGTTTATACCAAGTGTTACACGTCCCAGTATAATTTATACCAAGTGTTACACGTACCAGTCTAATTTATACCAAGTGTTACACGTACAAGTATAATTTATACCAAGTGTTACACATACCAGTATAATTTATACTAAGTATTCCACGTACCAGTATAATTTATACTAAGTGTTACATGTACCAGGATAATTTATACCCAGTGTTACACGTACCAGTATAATTTATACCAATTATTACACGTACCAGTATAATTTATACTAAGTATTCCACGTACCAGTATAATTTATACTAAGTGTTACATGTACCAGGATAATTTATACCCAGTGTTACACGTACCAGTATGATTAATACCAAGTGTTACACGTACCTGTATAGTTTATACCAAGTGTTACACGTACCAGTCTAATTTATACCAAGTGTTACACGTACAAGTATAATTTATACCAAGTGTTACACGCACCAGTATAATTTATACCAAGTGTTACACGTACAAGTATAATTTATACCAAGTGTTACACATACCAGTATAATTTATACTAAGTATTCCACGTACCAGTATAATTTATACTAAGTGTTACATGTACCAGGATAATTTATACCCAGTGTTACACGTACCAGTATGATTAATACCAAGTGTTACACGTACCTGTATAGTTTATACCAAGTGTTACACGTCCCAGTATAATTTATACCAAGTGTTACACATACCAGTATAATTTATACCAAGTATTACACGTACCAGAATAATTTATACTAAGTATTACACGTACCAGTATAATTTATACCAAGTATTACATGCACAATCGATACTGAAATAGTATTGGAGTTAATTATGAAGTCTTATACTTTGTACAAGTTAATCCTAACAGCATTTAAAACATGATCACGTTTTTTATCTTATTTAAATGGAAATAACAAACTTCTTTGTTCTGTAAATGTCCAGGGGAGGGACACCTCTTATGTCATTCAATGAAATCCTTTTAAATGAGGCACAAGAAATACCAACAAGAAGACATTAACACTTGCCATCTGTACCAATCACATTCATGCTTTTAGACACTCTTCTACACAAAGCAACCAACCAGGGCCATACAACAGTATATATAAGCTATTGACCAATCAGGTCCATTGATATATAAGCTAATGACCAATGAAAGCAGAACAAATCAATGCTGGTGCACAACAAAACATCTTAAAATCACTACCCCTCCCTTCCCCTTCCTTTCTCAAAATAAAATTATGATAAAAATCTGGTTTCCCCATCCCTTCAAAAAATAAAATAATCTGGTGTCTTTAGATGTAAAAGTTAAATCAATTACAAATTTACATATCACAGAAAAAACTTATGACAAAAGACATATTTCACTATTAAACCAATAAAGCAGCTTCACAGATAGCACTATATTAACATAAAATAACAAGTTTAGGAAAACAATTTAAAACGATAAAAATATTATATTTATTATATATATATTTTTATAAGTAACAATTAAATATGAAATCAGCTTACCTCCTCAGCACGATGATATATTATGATTACGTCAAAGTAAAAACATACTCAAAAATATTATATTCATACGATTCTAGCAGTTTTTTTATGTATAGTAAATCAATGATGTTACTTTTAAATCCATGTTTTCCACTTCAGAAACAAATATCTTCTCTGCATCCTTGAAATATGTCATGACAAAACTGAAGGCACATGGTTAGCCATTTGATTGGTTTCAGGCATAAAAAGAACTGACCAATCGCAAGGCTGTAGCTGTCCTTTTTAGATTACAGAGCAGCCACATCCAACTTTAAAGCTGGTCAATATTACCAATATGCTGCTGCTTTATTCTTACATCAGAGGATCTGGCTTGTCTACTTGTATCAAGCTGACACGTACGCGTACAGGGCCTTCAACTTAGTCACAACATATTCCAGGGGGGCAGAGGAGATATGGGAACAAGAACAGGCATAGAACTCAATGTTACTGAAGTATATACGGTGTATGTGACCTGCGGTTCGTGATATATCCTCGGTCCAGCGTTTATAAGTTGACTACTATCTTATACCATTCAAATGAATGAGGTGAACTAAAAATTTTAACGACCCTTCATGGGGTACTTAAATTCAAAAATGACAGTTCTTGTAATTTCAAACATAAAAATATGCTAAGTGAATGCAGAATAACCGCAATTTGAAGAAATAAATTCTTCAAAGAAAACTTAAACAGAAACTGAATAGCTATTATATTAGCATCAACAATCATATCATTGAAGAGGTCAATAACAAAAAGAGGCCCAGAGGGCTTGTATCGCTCATCTGGATATCTAAGGTAATGGCAAAATATTCTCCAAATAAGATCCCAGGGATAGGGCCAGACCCCAAGGCTAATCATTGTAGCATATCTGTATTAGATTTTTCATCTTTGACCAGGTATTAAAGAAAGCATGGCCAAATTATATTTTTGGTTTGTTTAGAAATTTCATCTATGTATAACAACTAAGTAATCATACACATGTAGTGTAAGATTTTATACTGCCGACTCATACATATTTTACACCTTCGTGCACGGAGTACCTTTCATAAAATTAAAAATTCTAAAACTGCAACAAACAAATCATTGGAATAAATAAAAACCATAATTGTAAACCCTGAATGGAGTTTACAATGGTGTCAATCTTAAACACAAGAAGACGAGGTCACAATCAAGCGTCATCACTTACATGGTGCCTATCATTACAAAGATACTTTTTTTCCTTCACAATATCTCTCTTTTGGTTGTTTACTAATCCTACTTTGATACTGAACAACTATTTCTAGAATCAATGTCTCTATGTGAATTCCTTCTTCATCAGAACAGTTTTTTGTGTGAATTATTTCCCTTGTTCAGATTATTCTTTGTGATAATGTTTGTTTATGATGTGGTGTGATAATGTTCACAGCTTTACTTATTATACTGCATTCAGTTCAACCTAAAAAAAGTATCTTCTTAATGCATGGAAAATCCAATTTTATGTTTCATGAATTATCTCCCTTGTCTGTAATAATTCATTCTCTTTCTCCAGAGTAATCTCCCCTGGGCGAGTTCTCCAGTGAGTGTAATTACTGTTCTTGCTGTTTCTTATTCTCTTCAGACTTGTTCTCTGCACCATTTGACAAGCAATAAAAAGTTTTAAATATATAACATTATTTATATTACATGTACATTCTCCAGTTAATAAGGATGCTTAATATAAAATCTAGATTATTGGTTAGACGAGGGATGAAGGACAAACAGACAGACAAACACTTATGGCACGACTGACGTAGGACAAATAGATGTCATGATTCATGAGAGACATATTTATGACTGATGATCCCACGGACTCCGGACATGAATGATGACAGCGGAGGGCAAACAGACAGAGACATGTGAAATAAGACCAACAACAAAACAGACACACATAAAAACATAAACAATGACGGGCTTATGTTAGACTCTTTGAGAGCGGAACATGGACACTTCCAGGACAATATCATAGACAAAAGTTCACCAGAGTGACATCTGTCAATATTATATACAACATGTGCATTGTGGTGCATGACAAAGGGGACTGATGCCAGAATTGACATTCAACACTTGTCCTTACGACTCCATAAATAGATCTGACCCAAACTCTATAAATAGGTTTGACCTTTGTGGAGGTCAATACAAAGGCTATTTATAACAAGTCTGTGATAATTGATATCTATAGTTTCTGGCACCAGTGGAGTCAAGTTTCTTCCATTCATGGTACATATGTATATACCTGGAATCAATTGCTTATGACAATATTTGGTATTCGATAACAATATTTAGATTTCATTTTTGGTAGTTGTTGACAAGGATATGGGTGTATTTCGTCCTTAGTCTCTGCTTCACCCCATAGTAATATTAAATGGTGACTTCATTTTATAGTTAGACACAATGTTCACCCCTCATCCTTGTCACAGAGGCTGCAGATCCTTCTTCAACTGTTGAAAGCACTTTAGTAGTCTGGAATCCTCCTATTTCCATTGGATAATGACCAAGTTGAAAGGTCACATAGTGATGCAAGGTCAATATTTATGTGACCTTGACTCTGGACTTCCGTGACCTTGACTCTGGACTTCAGTGACCTTGACTCTGCGGACTCCTGCAATTTTCACTGGCCACAATTTGATGGAGTTGTCGGTAGATATTCATATCTTAAGGTGAGTCTTAACACCATACACATATTACGATAACTCTATATCGCACGGGAGGAAATTCCCTTAAAGCCCATTATTTCTTAATCACCCTGGGTGATTTTGAATGGTAACCATGGAAACACCTGATCAACAACAACACCTAGAAGACGAATAGATCCACAGACGCATGTTGTTCACCTTTTAATTTGGTGTAAAGAATGGTTAAAGGATGTTGTCCGTTGTTGTGTTTATGTGGTCACCACGCATCTGTGTAGCGCACGTCACATTCCTGCAGGGCCGGTAGTTTGGTCTGAAACAAGCATAATAAAAAAGGGTCAGAATGAAAAAATAAAACCTGGATGCACAACTTCAGGTGGTAGTTATCATATCTGGACAGTTTCTTTGAAATTGGTCCACCACTTTAGAAGGAGTTGTCCGGCCAAACTTTTTCTACAGACAGACAGACAGATGTCTGGTTCCAGTATACCCTCTAACTTCGTTGCGGGGGTATATTAATTACAAACATAATCAATAAATAAACTTACTCTTGTGAAAACCTACAGTACCGTTAAGTTAGACACATTGTGAAAACCTACAGAACCGTTAAGTTATACACATTGTGAAAACCTAGAGTACCGTTAAGTTAGGCACATTCTGAAAACCTACAGTACCGTCAAGTTAGGCACATTGTGAAAACCTACAGAAGCATTAAGTTAGGCACATTGTGAAAACCTACAGAAGCATTAAGTTAGGCACATTGTGAAAATCTACAGTACCGTTGAGTTATACACATTGTGAAAACCTACAGTACTGTTAAGTTATACACATTGTGAAAACCTACAGTACCGTTAAGTTAGGCACATTGTGAAAACCTACAGTACCGTTAAGTTAGACACAAATTCATAACTCTACATCATATAAACACCCCATCAAAGTTTTCAAAGAAATTAGATGAACCTTCCCAAATTTACAGTAAAGTCATTTCAACCGGATTTTTTAAATTCAACACCATAAAACAACAGGTACTAGATATCAGGTCAACACCATAAAACAACAGGTACTAGATATCAGGTCAACACCATAAAACAACAGGTACTAGATATCAGGTCAACTACAAGTAATGGCATGTTTATCACACCGAAGCTAAAACAAAGTTGTAGAAAACTAAGATAAGAAATCTTATGTAGGCAGCTGATATTTTCCGTCTCTATATTTCCTGAGCAAAGACATGGCAGAAAACTGACCAAGCTTCTGCCGAAGGGCCTTGTGTAAGTTGCTTGCTACACTCTGGATTTCCCTTTGATATGTCGGCACACAGTTAATGTTATCCTTAAGAAAGGAACAAATATTCTACTGATCGAACTCACCTTTAGTCCCTCAAACGTCAACGCTGATAAACTTGTGCTGTTCAGGTTTAATTTGCGTAGGTTCTTCAAGGCTAAAAAAACAAACAAACACGTTAGTTTATCTATCATCACCCATTTTATTAACAATTTCTTATTCCGAAGTTTCCTAGAGTTTTATATACAGTTAAAGTAGCAGCTTGCGAGATATACCAATATTGAGTTTCTGGTTCTCCCAAGACCAGGTTTAATTCCCAAGGCAATACTGGGAGAAATATATCTGGTGAACTATACCAAAAGGCCTGGGAAGAATAAACAAATTACACAGACATTAAGTTCTGAAACCTGTTGAGAGCCATATCTATGTTTTCATTATAGTCCGGACTGATGAATGAATGAATCATCTAGTTTTCTCCAACTAACTCCTTGGACCATAGTGCTAACTCCCTGGATCATAGGACGAACTCCCTCGACCGGAGGCCTAATTCCTTGGACCAGAGGGTTAACTCCCTGGATCATAGGAATAACTCCTTGGACCACAGGGCTAACTCCCTGAATCATAGGTCTAACTCCCTGGACTGGAGGACTAACTCCCTTGATTATAGGACTAATTCCTTGGACCGGAGTGTTAACTCCCTGGATCATAGGAATAACTCCCTGGACCGGAGGACTAACTCCCGTGATCATAGGACTTATCCCTGGACTGGAGGACTAACTTCCTTGATCATAGGACTAACTCCTTGGACTGGAGGGCTAACTCTCTGGATCATAAGACTAACTTCCTGGACTGGAGGGCTAACTCTCTGGATCATAGGACTAAATCTTTGGTCAGCAAAGTCAGGTGGGGGTGTGAGGGTAAGCATAATAATAGCAATGATTCTCTTTCACAAGTTCTACTCTGATTCAATGCTTAATTAAGCATTCCTATCAGACAGGTGGGGTTTCATTCCTGACTTGACCAAGAATTACAAGAGATTAGTTATCTGTGCATGTTACTAAAAGAATCCCTCGAGAGGACCTCCGTTGTCTCACTGTATGTAAAAGACACTATATGTAAAAGACACTCCACAGAAAGTACAATGAGATTAAAACACAGTTAGCTGCCATAGAAGTTGTAGCTGTGGAAAGTGTTTGTATTTTGAAGGGAGAATCTGGATTGTTCACACTTACATGTTTACCTTTATAACATGTAGCTTAGGTTATAAAATAGGACCAGTCTATCATAGGATGTAGCCCTGGGTTAATAATGTGCTTATCTTTCACTGATTTATGCAAACTTGCATACCCTCCCTATTTTGGAGGAGACTCCCGATTTTGGAAACTTAAAATTAACCATTTTAACCCGCTAATTTGCTAAACTATTCCTAAATTCTAAGATCTTATGATATCATTGCAAAGATTGACTCAAAAGATGTCATTTTAACTTTTTTTTTGTTACCATAGTGGATATATACACACATTATATTAAGATTTCCTATTCTATTGTGAGCACATGGACCCTCCCCCATGGACTCTCCCCCATGGACCCTCGGACCCTCCCCCATGGACCCTCCACATGGACCCTCCCTCATG